AAATAATAAGAATAAATGAAAAATAATGAAATAATTTAAAATAAAAATAATTAAATAATAAAAATAATACAGTCTAGTAAAACTATTACCCCCGTGTGGACCTTGCATCTCTCACCTTGCATCTCTCACTCTTCCCACAGAGAAGCTGTTGGCTGAGCGAGATGGAAATGTGCTTTTATTCACTTATGAATTATATATATACACACAGACACACACACACACCAAGGAGGCATCACTTACATAAGCCCAGCGGGCCGCGGCGGCTCCGGCTCCTCTGGCTGATGCACAAACACGGTGACTCCGGGTGCTGGCAGCAGCCAGGCTGCCGGCTCCCCGTGTCCTTGCGGTATTTACTCAGAGGAAATCCTGTATAAACACAGCAAAAGAGCAATAGGCTGCGGGGAGGAGGATGGAGTTCCTTCCTTCCCCGTGCAGCAGAGAAAACGCTGCAGGGCAGCTTTATCTCAAAACCCTCCTCCTGGATTCCATTCCTGTTTGGGAGGGGGGAATAAAGAGAGGAAAAGAATCCCTAAAAGCTTATCTAATGAAGAGATGAATGCACTTGCTATGCTAAGTGTGTCTTTAACCTCTGAGACGGCAAATACCTCTCCTCCCGCAGGGCTTGTGGGCGAATGAGCACACGTGGAAATGGAGCAGCTGCGAACTTGTCCCTGAAGATCAGTCCCTCCTTCAGGGGAAGGAGAGGGACTCCTGTAGGGAAGGATCCAGAGCCAGAACTGAGCTTAAAGCAGGTCACAATTCTTGGCTATTTAAATCCTTTATTTTATTACCCCCTTTCTGCTGCTATATTTGGAGCAGAAGTTGTAGAATTGTTCCTAGTTCTGCTACGGGCGGGAGCACTTCCCTTTCTGTGCACCACCAACGTCGTTATCCCCATTTTGAGGGCACAGAGCACTTGTATTTATTCTTAATGAAGAAACGCCCCTTCAAGCCGCTCACTAGGAAGTGTCTGCACTCTGGAAGACGTACACACCAAAACTACCACAACACAGCATAGTATTTCTGAGAATCCATCGCAACACACGCCAAATGCAGCTCCTACTGCCACTTCCAGCCACTCGGCAAGGAAGACTGTCAGCCAGCCTGACACCACCTTCAGCAACACATTCCCTTTGCTTTTTACGGATCTCACAAACAAGCTCAGCATTCCCAGAGCAGGCACACATGAATAATTCAGCACGGGTAATGATGGAGCCCTACGGAGGCAGGATGATGCAGCACAGCCTGAATTCCTTCAGTTCACCGTGACCAATTCGAGTCCATCTTCACACCTGATAAGTGTGTTCTCATGCAGCACATCTGCGCTACTTCAAGCAAAACAGCATTTACTCACCTCAAAAGCCTGACAAGCTCAGAGGCAGAGCAATACTGGTTTATTTTTTGAGACTCCCTTCCTTTCCATCCATGGAAGCCAAGAAACATCATATTTTCATCACTGATCCTACTCCATGTACGTATCAACGGGGTTTACCTACCCTAAGAGGGATTAAAGTGAAGTAGATTTCGTCACTCATTTCTCCACAT